ATCACGCAGTGGGAAGGCTAGAGCCATATCAGCTCCTCTTTGGAGTAGGGTATTTTTTTTCCCTAGGATTCTCCATAAGGCAGGCTCTGTAGACCTGAGCATGATTAATATGAAAATCCTCCATAATGCCCATAATTCCAGAGTTGCTATGTCAGTGGATTCCTTCCCTAGTATAATTAATAGTGTCTATGATGATTACGAGCTTTGAGTTCCAACAGACTTAAGTTTATCAGTTGATTAACTGAGCCAAGGATGAAGACAACACATATTTGAAATCTTCAGGAGTGTTTCTCACTGAGACAGCTCAGCAAGGGGCTGGGCTGGACATATCCGGTAATTGAACCGGAGTTTTCCATTTATCCACAGAACAAGTTCTGTGCTTCCGGCTACAGTGCAGGCCTGCTCACAGTACCCTGCCAGCGTGCTTACCCCTTGACCTGGAGGGACCAGCTGAGGGTGAGAACATGATTCGCTCTCCATGCCCATCCCATGCTTGTTTGGTTAGCTGAGATTGGCCATGCATGCTATGGATGGTCCTGGGGTTTGGGGATCTAATGGGAAAACCCTCCCATGCATGGAGGAAAACCCAGGTTGACTAGAAACCCATCCATCCAACAGTCTCTACCACAATGCATTGTGCCCTGAGACTGGAAAGATAAGTCACTAGGTACTTATCAGCCAAAACTCATGTCAACTGGCAACTCTTCTGCCCAGCATTCTAGCAAATTCCAAGACATAGAAAGAGAGGCTACTACATGCTTTAGATAACTCTTCATCTAGTGAATCACTGATCTGGGTAAATATTTTCTGTAAATAAGTAAATGAATATTTTAATGCCTTCACTTAGGATCCTGAATTCAAAACTATCTTCTTAGAGCTGGATTTTTTCCAGAGGTAAATGCAAGAGAGGATCACTGTTGCTTCTTGTCTCATTCTTTCAGAGATAATCAGAGGGATCATTTTTGTTTTGTTTTGCTTGTTTGTTTTATTTGACAATTCTTTGACAGGGTTCCTAGGCAATTTTGCTGCCAATTTCTGACCTATGCTGAGAAAATAAAATGATAGGAAAATATTTTAAAAGGCCATTAACTCTAAGCATAAAATAGAGCATCTTACTGATTTGCAATATTGTTGAATGCTATTTAGCAAATAAACATTAGAAGAGTCCCAACCCCTAATGCCTCTGTTGCTAGAAAGAAATGTTTTTGTCAACTTCCTTATTCTTTTACTAATATGCAGACTGAGATAATGAACAAAGAGAGCTGTTAATAGTAGTTCAGTCCAATATCTGAAACATGATGGACTCAGTACAAATTTGTACCATAGACCAACAGGTTATTTCACATGAGTATATTTCTAATTCTGATTGCCAGGCACTCATACTGTATTCCCTCCCATGGCTGAGATAAATTGGGAGGGCCTGGCTGCAAAAGAAGGCATCATTGCTCACAGGATGGCCCTCTCTGTCTGTCCCTGACTGTGACCCAAGTCATTCTGAGGAGGTTCAAGGCCCATGTCTACTATTGAACAACTCATCCACCTCTATCTCTAGGAATCAGCCCCAGGCAACTCCCTCAATTTCTCCCCTGATTGGAGCCCCACCTGTTCTCACTTTAGTGGCTTGACTGATGAGACTTATGTCAGGTGGGCCTCTCCTGCTTCCCTCACCTCAACATGTTCTGATCTGCAACCAGACTACATTTTGTTGTCTGAATCCTGCTTATGGCAGGATCGAGGAAGTCCAAGAGTTCAGCTGGGATAGGCACACCTGCTCTCTTTCCCCCTTCTGGAGTACCAGTCACCCCAAGATGAGGACCATCATATTCACTCCCAGTCTAACCAGTGCTATAGTTTGGGCCACCATTTGTGGTTTTCCTCCTGCTTCAGCTCTCAATAGACCCTTGGCCCACTGTCACACTTATAGATTGAGAGAGGGGGAAAAGGTTTGATTATTAGAGGTTCCCAAACATCTTCATGCATCAGAATCATCTTTTGGGCTTCTGCTGGCCCCACCCCAGAAGTCCCCTTTTAATAGGCAGAGCTGGCTTCCCTACACTCAGAAGAAACTCACATGATCTGTTATTACCATCTTGAAATTCCTTGTTTTTTTTAAAAAAAATTTTTAGCATGGTACCCCACATGCTCATTTTGTACTGGCCTCCACAAATGATGTAGCTGCTTCTGTCCAGAATAGAGCATGAAAATTTATATTTCCAACAAGTGCCCAAGTGATGCAGATGCTACTGCTATAGGGAGCACACTTTCTTATTTCCACAAAGTGTAAATGAGATTTTGCAAAGCCAACCCAAAGAAAAGAGGAAACAGACAGTGGCCCTCTTCCTCCTGCCTTTTCCTCTCTACTTAATTAGATCCAATAAGAGTTATGAAAATGGAGGAAAAATTGGTATAGGAATTTTGGTTAATTTTATTTTTGCTATTGTCATTGTTGTTTTACTAATGCTCTTATGAGGCATACTGCTTTTTCTGTTCCCCACCCCCAACAACTAATGTAGGTATGATTTCCCTGTGTGTACATTAGTCCAAAAAACAATTTTCAGAGACAGCTTGAAAAAGCATATAAAGTGCAGCAAGGTCATAGTAGGTAACTTGAGAGAATGGGGGAAGGAAAACAATAGAAAAAGTAATAAAATGAAGCTGCAATGCAAGAGACAAAAAGACAATCCCCAAGCTTTGATACATCAACTCAAATGGAGCTCCATTTCCTCTGAGCTTTTAGCATTCATTTCAAACAGAAATACATTACTTATTATATGACTCATGCTTCCATGATATAAAAATAACCTACTCACTCAGTAGAAACCCAAATGTCCCTAGTACCAAGACTTAAGAGAAATTTGTTTCATGAGGCATCTTTCTTTATATACATAACCCTAGTTCCATCTGCAATTTATAACATTTTGTGGAACATATTATCTTCTATATATTGAGTAAGACAGATGAGAAAGACATGAGACAGAATTATTGTGGTCTCTGTGAGCTAAAATACAATCTTTTAAAAACTTTTCTCCCAATATGAGGAGGCAAAAACAAAACAAAACATCTATAGCCCTGATAGTTATTTTGGTTTGGGCTCATGAATAGACTTAACTCTCTTTAAAACATCTCATAAAATAAGGCTTTATGTAGCTACTATTATTGATATAAAATCATGACTTATTCTTACTAAGTAGACAAAAGACATTTCTATTAATGACTGGGAATATGTCAATGGAAGTAGCCCAATAATATGATTTATAGCCCTATTCAGAACATTGAACCCTGATTTTGAACTGGGTTCTGTGTTAGTTCAACTTATTAGATTTTTCTAATTTTCATAATAACCTTTACTCAGAGCCATACCCCATGACATCAGACAAGTGTCCAATTAGTTTTATTTTGTGTTCCTTTGGCTAGAATTAAAGAGATTTTTTCCCTTTAATTAGCTATGGTGGTTAAATAGTGTTCCCCGCACTTTCCAGCAGAAATAGTTAAGTTCCTTTGATTTTTTTTTTCTTCAAATTCATTGGAGGCCTGAAGGTCTGGAAAATCATCCTCATGGCTGTCCTCTGGCTCCTGCCCATAAGATTGTCTGATATCAGTTCAAAGAGGAAGCAAGGAAAGGACTTATTTATTCCATGTGGGTAGAAAATGTCCTTAGCAAAACTGCTCAAACCCTAACCACCTCAGTGACAGGCAGCTGGCATGGCACATCAGGAATGCTGGGATGGTTTCTCCCTGGGTACTAACCCTTGGTGGAAACCTGAAATGAAGCTAGCTTCTTGGTCCCCATGAGGGCATTGCTTCCATTTTGCATGCACAAAACCATTTGGTTAGGAAGGGATTGCTCAGGCGTATGTTTACCTTCTTTAAAACCACAAAGATTTGTTTTGAAAATTTCAACTAAAGGAAAGCAAAGACTAGAAAAGGGAAGCAAAGTGAGGGTGGGGGTGCAGAAGCAGATTCTGGAACTTTAATCAACCTGTGATCATTTCCCTTTAAGATTTTGTCAGGGCCACTGTTTTGAGGAAGGTAGAAAGTAAAGATGTTCCAGGTAAGACTTCACCAGTCTTTCCATGTTCCTGAAGTTCTCATTTTCGTGTTCCACTTACATATTCACCACTTCCGTTGCTGTGAGAACACATTCATACTTGTATATATGGTTTGGTAACTAGTGTGTCAGATCAATGTATAAAATCACTAGTCCTTTGCAGAATCATTTTAAATATGTGTTAAAAATACAGTGGATTCTTAATGGTGGTCATATATTTATCTTTCTGGCCAACTCTTTTTATATGAAATACTTATTCCCACCAGTAGCATCATCATCTTCATCACAGGAAAGATGAATTTAAGTATTTTGAGAAGTTGCCCACAGTTTTATTCAAATGATTTTTAATACAGGATATTGAAGAAGGTAAAAGTGGCAGCTGCCAGTTTTTCCTTACTTAACAGAAAGTGACCATTAGAGTTTAATTTTTAAATGAAACCAGGATTTAATCCACGAGGCACCTCAGGCATATTTGTTGGCGAATACAGAGATGTGCTTCTGTTTATTTTCCATCCTTCCCCTGGCAGCTGGCATTTCCCGTTACAACTTGGATTTTTCTGCCCTCTGCGGGCCACACATTGGCGATTACAGGGATCCATCTTTTCATCTCCTTCCTCTGCTCCGCTGAAGTTTTGTTACATTTGTTAGGTTTTACTGCCCTCTGCTGGCCGTACATTGGCGAACACCGTGCAGGGATCCGTGTATGTTTCATCCTCCCCCCTCCTTCTCGGGGGCTGCGGTTTCTTGTTACATTTGTTGTGTTTTGCTGCCATCTTCCGGCCATTATGTGGAAACGCTTTCATTTTATTAATGCAGACATGTTGGAACATTGCTCAAAAGGCCCCTGTGTCCATGCGTTCTCCTCCTGTCATTTGTGTAACGGCTGTATTGTTTAAATGTGGTGACAAATTATTAACACACTCATGTACCTATAACTGTCTCGTTGTACCAGAAGCCCTGACATTCTGCAGTCGGAAGTTTCCTTTTCTATGGGAGGGAGGCATTCATCTACAGACTCCAACAAGGCCTCCAGTGGAGACATCTCCCCTTATGACAACAACTCCCCAGTGCTGTCCGAGCGCTCCCTGCTGGCTATGCAAGAGGACAGGGGCCCGGGCGGCTCGGAGAAGCTTTACAAAGTGCCAGAACAATATATGTTGGTGGGCCACTTGCCAGCGTCAAAGTCAAAGTCAAGAGAAAGTTCTCCTGGACCAAGGCTTGGAAAAGGTAAGGGGAGTCTAGATGATACAGGCCAAATCAAGTGACTCTATTTGTGCATATGGCATGATATAAGACACTTCGAACCTCCTCTTCCACTGTCCTTTGTTTACTGTTTCTGTAATTTAGGGAGCATTTACTGAGTACCTGTTGAACACCTACTCAGGAAGAAAGGGTGGTGAGTGCAGGTGTTGTCTTGGAGGGTCCTTGCAGCCCACATTCTGATTTTCAAATATGTAGGAAGTGAGCACATGCCAGGAAGAGCCACTTATATTTCCAGTTGACCCCCCTACCCCCAACATCCAGGAAACTTTATTTATCCTGGTGAGTAGGTTTTGGTTGCATATTTGATAGCCTAAGATGTCACCCACTTACTACTATTGGTTTCATAAAGATAACAAGTTGAACCTACTACATAACTAGGCAGCATGCTGGAACCAAACAGTGTCAGAGTCCAATGACAAGAGCACTATATTTGAAGTAAGACTCTGCTCTGCCACTTTCAATTTGCAAGATACCAAACAAGTGATTGAGCTTTGCTGAGACCCATGTCTACCTGCTATGAAAATTCAGAATGATAATGGTGTCAGATTCCTTGGGTTTATTAGCCAATTCATGGCAAGTGCTGAATGCAGCTCTTAGTGTATAATAATCACTGGATAATGCATGCTATGTAATTTGTGTGCATTTCTCACCTCCCCTCACACTGGGTGTCTCTTCTGTCAAATGATCTCCCGTTTATCTCCTAGGGATGAAATGAGATAATGTATGTGAACTGCTGTACACCTGGAGGCACTAGACATTTGCTTCTATAAATCATAATTATGATCCCATCACAGGATTGTAGAGTGGAGGAAATGAGATGGCTAGAAAATTCTAATGTAGCACTTAACTCCAAAGCTATTTATGCACAGACTCATGGGGGTTTCCTGAAGGAATAGGTGCAGGAATGAGTCTATGGGTGCCAATAGCTGAATATTCCAGAGGGTAGTCCAGAAACAGTTACTGCTGGTCCTCAATCTCTGATTAATATAGTTAGAGCCCATAAGCATCTTGCCATCACCCCCTTGTATGAGCTTTTCCTACTGCTATTGTCACAAACTATCACAATTTCAGTGGATTAAAGCAGTACACAAATTTGCTATCTTATGGTTTGGGAGGTCAGAAGTCTAAAATGAGTCCACAGGGCTGCCTTCCTTATTGGAGGCTCTGGGGAATAGTCTGTTTCCTTGCATTTTTCAGCTTCAAGAAGCTTCTGTATCCCTTGTCTCATGGCTTCTTTCTCCAACTTTAAAGACAGCAAGAGAGCAGCTTCTGTCTTATGGGGCCCTCCTGGGTCATACAGGAATATCACCTCATCACAAGAATCATATAATTCAATTGCATTTGCAAAGTCCTTTTTGAATATAAGATAATGTCTTTAGAGGTTCTGAGGATTATGATGCAGAGACTTTTCGGGGCAGGGGGTATTCTGTCTACTACAACCAAAATGTAAGAAGTCTTTGTAAGGCTCCTGAAAAGCAGACATGAATTGTATCCTGTTTTGCGACTGGCACAATCTTGAATACTTTACTTTGCACAGAAAAGATGTTATAAAATATGTATTAACTTTTGTCTTTAAAATTTCGTTTTGTGTCACACACCTTTTTGTGCTTTTTGTCTTAGATATGTCAGAGGAGCCTTTCAATATCTGGGGAACTTGGCATTCAACATTAAAAAGTGGATCCAAAGACCCAGGAATGACAGGTGGAGTGTTCTTCTTAAACTTCATTGCAATTACTTTTAAAATTAATTTTGTTTCATTTTTGCCTTGTTATTGTCTTACATGGTTGTTAAATATTACTGGGAAGATACTGAAGAGAGGGGGGAAAGGATAATATTACTTGTAGGTTTTCCACCCAAATATGCCATTTCATTTCCTTTTTAGAGACATAAATTGGTGACAAGGCTGTTTAATCTGGTTTTGCAGCTCAGCTAACCTGTCAAGAGTCTAGGCATAAGTTTTGAGCGGCCACATGAATTGTGCTGATGATCAGAAAGCATTTGTCATTTCTTTTGCTAGCAGGTGTTTTTAGGTGGCGGCAGCTGAGAGCGTACTGTTTTGTGGGTTTTTTTTTTTTGTTTTGTTTTGTTTTTTTTGTTTTTTTTTTTTTTTTGGTGGTACAAGTTGGCACGGGGAAGCCAGTGCGAGGACTCTAATCCCCAGAGGAATGCTACAAGCTAATTCCAGTTCTGGCCTTTCTCTCTGCTCCCAGGTTCCTATGGTGACATTTTTGAAAGCAGCTCCCTCCGACCGGGGCCCTGTTCCCTGTCCCAAGGGAACCTGTCGGCGAACTGGCCTCGGTGGCAGGGGAGCCCCTCGGAGCTGGACGGAGGCCCTCAGGTCCCGCGGAGGACTCAGCCCGCGCCCGCTGCGGTGCCGCGCG